AGACATGATTGAAACAGCAATTAGAGCTCGCTGGAAAAAGACGGTACACCGGATGAGAGCTCTCACAAAAAGAGCAGACATTACTGAAAAATTGAACGAATTCTGCATGGACTGGCTGGGGGGGGAAACAGGGAGGACGGATTGCATGGGTACAATGGGATGGCTGGCCCTTGGATGGCAATGATCGCCTAGACAAAGTGCCGAAGGATTATCGATTGCTCTTTCATAAATGGACTGAAATCCCCAGCAACATCCCACTCCCCCCGGTTTCTGAGTTTCCTGATCTGTTTCCCCCATCAAACAACACCTTAGTCGAGCTGAGCTGGTATGGCCGAGATACTGTGGAGCCCGTCCAGCACAATCCTGGTGGGACCGGTCAGGATGGAGGAAGGGAATAGGAGGATTAGGTCTCTGCTCCGGTCGCCCCCTGGACGCAGAACCTGCCTCCCTATCCCCCCCTCACACCTGGCCTGTCCACCCATGACCCGGCTGGAAAGACAGGCCCCAGTATTGATTGGAAAAAAGGGTGTGGGTCTAGTATGTAGAAGTCCTGCTCAGTCAATCCCCTGGACCCCAGGGTAATCAATGCTGGCAGGACCCCAAAAACTGTGTACTAAAAGATACTTCAAAAAGACAGTTGGGATTGGGTCTGATAGGGGAAGAGAGGAACTAGGGTGTAGCTGCAAGTATCTGGCGGAGACTGGCGCCCAGCTCTGGGCGAAGAGGTTCCTTTTTTACTTTCAGGCCCTGCTCAGTCAATCCCCTGGTTCTCAGGGCAATCAATGCTGGCAGGAATCTTCCTCCATTGTTTCTCTAAGGTGCTCTGAACTCAGTCTGTAAATGGGACGCTGGACCCGCTTTCCAGCAGGTGATGCTCCCCACCAATAGATGGAGCCTCTCCCCAGGTGCTAGTGGTGTCTGCTCTTATCAGCACCACTCACACTGGCGGGTACGTTTTCCAAAAAGAAAAGAAAAAAAAAAAAAAAAAAAAGAGTTATCGTTGCACAATGGGCCAATATACAGTTTCGAATTGCAGTTCGGAAAATGTATACAACCCAGCTTTCTGGCCAAGGTAGGGTGCCTGCATGAAGCACAATTGCAAACTGTATCTTACCCCATATTGCAATTATAACTCGTTTTTGTGACTCTACTACTGAAGTTACGCCTAATCCAAATTACCGTAATGCTTTGAAATTCCTAGGAAACACTGGAGTACATGGAGTCAATTAGTAGAGCTAACCAATTGTAGGGGTGTTTGAGCAAGGAAGGAAAAAGACCAGCGGCATCAGAGCAAGCATCCCTCCCCTCCCCGAGGCAAAAGAAAAGTCGTAGAGAAGACTTTGCTGCAGGGTTGTGTCTCCATTAAAAAGGGGTGACGGTCACAAATATACTCATACCAAAGAACCAGGTCCGAAACCATTGTCTACAGTCCTCTATAGTCATTAAGGTAGCCTGAACAGGCCCTCCTGTCCTGACGAGGCCTCATTTGCCAGATTCTTGTCGTCGTTCTTGATTATCCACCCAACGCGTGCAAGTGGGACCTCGCCTCGCCCTTGGTGTCATGCGAAGCCTTGCTAATTCATTTATTCTATTCTTGGCACACGTGACAAGCTCACCACCTCCTCCCTAGGAAAGGGCCTACGATTTGCACGTCCCTTTGGTTAATACCCCTTTCTGCCTAAGGGGCTTGTCCGCCATAGCTAGTCCTTCCTTTGGGAGACTAACGTACCCGAAATACCATTCGCCCCAAGGTTCCACTTGCCTGAATACATCGTTACGGACCATTGGTTGGAAGATTTTTATTTTTTATTATTATTATTTTTTTTTCCCTTCGATTTATGCGTGGCATCCATTCGCGTTACGGGCCATGCTAATTACCCTTCTCTGTATCGTTCCAATTTTAACGGATGTCCCGAAGAGAACGTTATTGTTCTTTTCTCCCCCGTTGGTTGCATTGAGGTGAGAATACATAAAAAAAATAAGAATAAACAAAAATTAACATTAAAAAAAACAATAAACAAAAATTAATCTATTCCGTTCGACCAGCCGCGGAGCAAGACGGATTCCACCCCGCTCCTCCGGCCCTTTCCCCCACTCCCAGCTCGCTAGCATCTTTTTTTTTTTTTTTTTTTGTACTCGCTAGCATCTTGCTAGCCAGTAAAAGCGGTTTTGTTACGTCTGTCATCAGGGATTGATTGGGAGGGGTAGCTATGCTTGCAGAGGGCCCCCCTGTATAGGCTTTTTTTTTTTTTTTTTTTTTTTTTCCCTGTATAGGCTTACGAGTAGTGGCAGGTAGGTAGTGAAAGGTGAAGTTTTTTTTTTTTTTTACCGAATCACTGAAAGGTGAAGTTGAGAGACGAATGTCGATGACTGTAAAAAGGAAGAAAAAGGAAAAAGAAAGAAAGAAAAAAAAAAAAAGTCACGTCTACGGTAGGTGGCCGGGGGCCAAGTCCTACTAGCAGCGTTGAGTCTCCTCCACGCCCGAATGTGGACGTGTTTGTTGACAGGTGCAGAAAATTGCGTTGAGTTTCCTCAACGGCACATCTCCGAAAACACGTCCAGATTCGGGCGTTGAGGAAACTCCACGCTGCTAGTAAGACTTGCCCCCTCAAAACGAATTGTCCAAGGAGCGATGAAGAGAAGAGAAGATTATCATCGCCCCTGCGCAAGGATGACACGCATAAATCGAGAAATGGGGAAGCGAGTGGATAAGATCTTTTATCCATCACTGACCTTGTTCCGTTCCACATTGCTCGACAAATCATTGGGAACAAAATAAAAAAAAAATAAAATAAATAAAAATAAAAAAAAAATTGGGAAGCGAATGGATAAGATCTTTTACCCATCACTGGGCTTGTTCCGTTTCACATTGGTCCGTAAGGCTGAGGTCGCCTGGAGATAAGATAACGGGCCTCCCTCCACCACTCAACAAATGTGCAAAATGAGAATGAATCTTCCCCTCTAACATCGGAAAATACACAGCCATAATTTTGGTCATTTGTCCATCATGATGTGGTGAGCCGAGCACCACTAGCACTGCAGGGGGTGTGTTTTTATTAAAAAAAAAAAAAATGCAGGGGGKGTGTTTTTWTTAAAAAAAAAAAAAAAAAAAAAAAAAAGTGCCGAACCGAGGCCCAAGCCCTCGTTTTTTTTTTCCCTTATTTTTTTCCCCCTTATAAAGTTCACGTTGTTGTAGAGGTGGGATGCTGGACATATGACAGTCCCCTAGGTGGTCGGTCGGGTTATTTGGTCATCCAGATGATATATCCAAGGGCGTTCGCCAAGAGTGGAGCCATTGAAACCGGCCTACCTTCTTCCCCCGAATACAACGTACGGTCGTTATAGCTGTTTTTTTTTTTTTTTTTTTTTTTTTTTTTTTTTTTTTCCGAGAAAGACATCTTTCAGTCTATTTAGATACAGCTATAATGACCGTACGTTGTATTCGGCGGAAGAAGGTAGCTCAGTCGGTACACCCATGAACTGTTGACATACAGAACAGACAGGTATCCCAATCCAGTTCCAGCCTCCAGGTTTGAGTTACTTGGGGCCCGTCAGTTCCGTTCCATGATGACACCTCAAGGCCGTCGCGCTTTGAAAGGAAAATAAAATAAAAAATAAAATAAAATAAAATGGAGCCATGTAGAAAAGATTAGCATGGCTCTCGCTGCATGGCTCCTGGGCAAGGATGACAGCCACACGTCTTGATCTGCCATCCATGTCTATTCTGCTTTAAATTAGCTGAAGTGAAAAGAGTCGCTTGGTCGTTGTTCTGTTCTATGACGGTATGACCAAGCTCGGCTAATGGATACGGCTTTATCTCTGTCAGTCGATCATGCATGAGGCAGGCATGCATGCACGTACCAGGCAGAGGCAGCACTGCAAGTATCTACGTGCATGCATCAAGCAGTACATGCACGCGGAAGGTCATTTTTGCCAGGGAATTGGAAGGGCTGCGAGAGAGAAAGCAGGACAACACAGAGGGAAGAGAGGGGAATCGCATGCAATTCAAAGCGTGACGATAGGAAGCAGCAACATCCGATTCCACGCTCTGAGAAGCTGCAGGCGATTCCCCTCTCTGCCCTCTGTGTTGTGCTGCTTCCTCTCTCGCAGCCCTACCAATTCGACGATTGGCCACAGAAAGTACCACTGACCATTCTCCAGAGAGTTCGTCGGGTCAGGTCTGCCGCTCTGAGAAGCACGGTGCTCGTCTGCTTGGCTCCCGAAAGCGGAGGCAAGCGACTAGGAGAGGGAGGAAGGAAGGAGTTGCGGAAGGGAGTAGGTGGGGCAATACGTGGGGGGACCGGCGAGGGGGGAGGGAGGGACAGTAGAAATGCTGCAAACAACATGCGGAACGGAAAGGGGGTACCTTGTGCACTCTCTAAAGGAAGACGCCAGCCACGTGCGCACGCGCCCGGACACACACACACACACACACACACACACACACACACACACACACACACACACACACACACACACACACACGCACGCACGCACGTACATACATAGCCACGTACGTCGACCAACGAACGGACGGGATGTCGGAGCGCAGAACGGGATGGCAAGGAGGGATTATTTTCACACTCAATGACCAAAAGAGAGAGAGAGAGAGAGAGAGAGAGAGAGAGAG